TAGTGGTCTTAAAGCAGTAATCAGACTAAGAGAGAAATATAAAAGTACACAGAGACAGACAAACAGGAGGTAGTATGACTGATCTCCAGGCATGATGTATCTTACTGGGCAGGTGATTCCAAGACCACTGACAAGGCAACAAAGTCAGTCCCTTAGGTCTCCTCTCAGAAAAACATTAAAAATCACATGCACTAAATGCTTGTGAGTTGCTTTCTCACAAGTTGGATTCTAGGTGAGGGATATGGAAGTGATTAACTCCACTGACACAAAGAGAAAAGACTAAGTAGTTCCAGTATCTGTATTTCACATATAGGAGTCCAGAGGGAGGGATGACTAAATTCATATGACCAAAATCCTTCTAAAGACTCTGCTGGAATTCACAGTGAAATTCATTGCATTGAAGATGGGGCATTCTCTTATGAATGTGAACTAATTTAATGTTTGGCATCCAATGCCAGCACAGGGTGGATCATAAAATTTCCCCTTTACATAAAACTGGAAATCCAGACAGAATCAGAAAATGCTATTGATTATTTTGACACTAGCTGCTATAAGAAGCACAAGGCAAACATCATTCACCAGAGGGAAGAGTGGAAACCTTGCCCTGTGCCTCCTTTTATCCTCTCAGGATCCTTCTCCAATGCAAAGCAGCCTCAGGCTCAGGCTGAAAGCCCAGGCCTAGCTAAGCAGCTCCATCTCTTTCTCACTGGAGCCTCCAGCAGAGCATGGCTGTCCTGGTGCTGTTCCTCTGCCTGGTGACCATTCCAAGCTGTAAGTGTTCAGGGTTTCAGGAGAGGAACCCAGGCATGTTGTTATGGGATGTATGAGTGATGGCGATGTTGTTTGTCCCCAGGTGTCCTGTCCCAGGTGCAGCTGAAGGAGTCAGGACCTGGCCTGGTGCAGCCCTAGGAGACCCTGTCTGTCACCTGCACTGTCTCTGGGTTCTCTTTAACTGACTATGATGTAAACTGGGTCTGCCACCCTCTAGGAAAGTGTCTAGAGTGGATGGGAGGAATATCATGGGATGGAAACCCTGGGTATAATTCTGCTCTCCAATCCCGAATCAGCATCACCAGAGACACCTCCAAGAGTCAAGTTGTCCTAAAACTGAACAATCTGCAAACTGAGGACACTGCCCTGTATTATTGTGCCAGAAACACAGTGAGAGAAATCCAGTGTCAGCCTGCACAAAATCCTCAATGCAGGGATAGTCACGACCAACAGGGGGAGGAGAGGACCAACAGGGACTCCAAGGACCAGTATGGGTTGCTTCAGGAGTTAGAAAGTACTAGACTATGCTGCATGAACACTTGCTTTAATTTTAGAGCCTATGGTGTCCACTTTCTATAAAAAAAATCCACTAGAGATCCCTCTTGACTGTTGTAGCCTTATAAACTTGGTATTTTTACATGTACTAGAACCAATGGATTTTCCCCACAAAATAATTTATTATTTTTTCTTATTGTAAGAAAGGTTGACATATAATTTATGGTGATATATATATATATATATATATATGTGTGTGTGTGTGTGTGTGTGTGTGTGTGTGTGTGTGTGTGTGTGTGTGTGTGTGTGTGTGTTGTGTGTGTGTGTGTGTGTGTGTA